TTCCAAACACTGCACAGCTTGATACAGAGGCTAGCAGAAGCAGGTCACAGCTGCAAATGGGTTCAGAGATAGTGCTTCCCTGTACACTTAAAAATATCTGGAATTTAGATTACTATATTTTCCTCTCTCTCACAGGGTGGGTGTGAGATAGGAGTCTTGTGTCATTTCCTTTTTGCTTCTTTCCTTGTTTTGGTATTAGATGATAATCAATTTAATCTCCTAGAAGTTGGTGCATATTAGTTCCACGTAGTTCAGAGGAAGAACAGACTAACCCCTAATATGGTTCTGTTCTTTTCTTTCTGTCAATGCCACTGATTCCATTTTTAAACTTGTTACTCAACTACTGTGATCAGATACCACACAATGACCTAAAATGCAGCCTTGGCTCTCCTCAGAATTTGTTCCTTCCTTTCTTATTATTCTGTTGCTATTTACATTGGCAGAAATGCTGGTGTCTGGCTCATCTTAATTCACTTCACTATAAAATAAACAGAGATGCAAATTTGGTGGCAAGACCACTTACTACATTAGTTCTACCCTTCTACTCCCTTTTTAAACTCTTCCAGCATTCTTTATTATGCAATTCTCTCTGCTCAGAATCTATCCTTCAAAGCAAGCCTATGCTGCCCCTTTGCTGTTGGCCTACAGTATTCATCCAAAAGCTTGGAAACTTTCCATTAATCTCCTTCTGCTTTTTCCTAGTTAGCCAAGTATCTCTCTCCTTTTCATCTCCTCCTACATTTCCAACACTATCCCTTCCTCTCTCACCCTACCTTTACAAGATTTACCTGAACCCATTTTCTCTTCTCTAGCTTCCAAGTGATCTCTATCCAATTTCTTACCAAATCCACCCTCAAAGATCACAAACACTTCCATCAAATAAAAATCCAAGAAAGCCATTTACATGTTTTTGATCTTTCAGCTCTCTCTGGCACTAACCCCTTTGTCATTCTTCTCCCAGCTTTCTGCCCCTATCCTTTTTTTTTTAATTTTTTGTTTGTTTGTTTTAAACTAGCAAAGCATTCATTTACTGAAAGCCTTGTAAAGCATCCTCTATCCCTGCACCCGTCTATATACCACACCTTCCTTGTCACTCTCAACCCCTGTTGAGTATCAATGACCTCCTTCCCTGGCTTCCAACCAACTTAACATCTACAATTTAAAACTGCTTCCTTAACTGAACTTTCCCCTGACTAGTACCACATCTGTGTTCAGAAATCCAGCTATCATCTGAAACAGCTCTCCAAACCCAGATGCTTTATCTCCTCCTTTCCAATGTCATTATTCCTTTTAATCCCAAAGTCTGTGATTCCAAGGTAATAAAGACTCTCTCCTCTCTTTTTGTCCTCTCTCTAGCACGACTGTTATGCTTACACTGCTCTTCATGCCTTCACCTTAACATCTATATCCTTAAGACCAACAGAGTATTCAAGCAATCCTCCTTTAATTATCCTGACACCCTCTACTCTATGTTTGTTGTTCCATGTTTGTCAATTTTGTCTTTAGATTGTACAGGTTTCCCCAGAAGTACTTTCAGTCCACTTTGGGGTTCACCGCTGAGCACGCAGGGCCCCCCCCCCGCACTCCTGTGGGATGCTTCGTCCGCCCCACTATCACAGCATTCATAAGCTGGACCTGGAACCTTGAGGTATGTAGAAAAAACATTTAAATCTGTGTCTATGACTGAATCGCTGATTCTCTGAATCAGCATCGAATCTTCAGATTCGGATTTGGCTGAATCGAATCAGGGCAGTGATCCGAATCCAAATCGAATACGGCCCTTTTTGCACGCCCCTAGTCAGTACAGTTGAGGTCTTGGAACATATCCCTATTTGTTACATTGTAAAGTAAGTTTCCTTTAAGTGAATTTGAGTGATCTGCCATTTTCCAGGAACACATGTACAGCATAAAGTAAGGAAAACCTGTAGATCCTGTCAGAGAACATGTCTTACTCTATTTATGATGCTGTCTTTTTGTAATACTTGTGGCTTTTCCCAAAAGCTGAATTTATGACTAGCTCTCAGAGTTCAGTATACTGGAAAGTGTGCTACGACATGAAAGATCATGGAATCATAGAAAATTAGGGTTGGAAGGGACCTCAGGCAATTATCTAGTCTAAACCAGTGCTCAGAACAGAACCATCCCTAACTAAATCATTCCAGTCAGGGCTTTGTCAAGCTGGGCCTTAAAAGCCTCCAAGGAAGGAGATTCTACCACCTCTCTAGGTAACCTGTTCCAGTGATTCACTACCCTCCGAGAAAGTTTTTCCTAATATCCAAATTAAACCTCCCTTGCTGCAACTTGAGACCATTGCTACTTGTTCTGTCATCTGTCACCACTGAGAACAGTTTTGCTCCATCTTCTCAGTCACTGAGCTGGGGGGCACGGGAGGGTCTCCCAGCACACTCCCCAGTAGACCCGGAAGTGCTTCTGGTCCACTTCTAGGTCTGCTGCTGAGCGCGCTGGGGACTGCCCCATGCTCCTGTGGGACACTTCATCCGCCCCAGCATCACAGCATTCATGAGCCACCTGGTACCTTGAGATATGTAAAAAAAAAAAAAGAAGAAGTATTTAAAGCTGTGTCTATGTCTAAATCACCGAATCTTTCCAAATCAATTTGGAGGGTTCCGATTCAATTCGGAGAGATTAAAGAGTCTCCTGATTCAATTTGGATTCGGATATTCGGCCACTGAATCGGGCCAAATCTCCGCTGAATTGAATCAGCGACAGAAGCTTCACAGAGCCCTAATAATTATTGCTTTGGCTTACCCATTTAAAAAAAATTGAGATAATATATATTTCATATATTAAAAGGTGTAATATTTGTAAAGTCCGTCAAAGTTTTGAAATGGAATCTGTTTGGCAAATAAGCTGTTTTAAAGTGGGAAAAAACAGCTCTATTTTATACTTTAAAACTATCTAGGATTTCCCAATATTTTCCTCTCTCCTGCATGGCTTATTGCTATCTACTTCATTCTAATGCGGTCTCCTTTTCTATTTTTAGTCATGTTAACTTCAATACCAAACAGTACTTTCCTCTGGGCAGAAAGTACAATCCTCCACTGATGCAAGCATGGACCCCTGTTGACCTCCAAACCAGTAATACATGTATCAAATAGCATGGGTGTTCTTTAGCAATGTGTGTCAATATGACAAGCCTGACAGTCAGTGGCTTCAGAGAACAAGTGCCAAAAAGTAGTTCTGAAACCCAGACATCACATATGCTAACAATACACTGTCCACAGAATTTAAGATTTGTTTAGATTTCAGTTTCATAACAACAAGTACCGTAGGTTTTCCAGGAGAAAAAACTGCATCAGTAGTTTTTTGCTTTAAAAAATTAATTTCAGGGAATCTAAAGTTTTTGTTTGCCCAACTAAAATCATGTAGCTCATAATTAATGAGAAGCTGCACTAACAAAGAATCCTTTATTTTACTAATACAGCAGTTTACTGAACAGAACAATATTAAAGCATTTGAGGACACAGGTAGGATGTGTATTACCTGTATACAAAATACTTAAAGAAGTCCAGTACAACATTCAAAGGAAACTCAATGAGGAAAACCTTTGTAAAAAAATTAAGTAGCCATTTGTTATCATCTGTTTTCTGTGGATGAAAAGTTAATAAACCTGAAGTCCAAAGCTAACAGTGAGGATTCTTCAGAAAAATGCATTAAAATAATTTAAAGCTTAATGAGAGCTGGCTTGTCTAAATAACCAGATTAATTTAGATTAGGAAACAGACTAGGAATAAGTCTCAAGAATTAAATTAATTTTGTTTTTCTGGAAATAATCTAATGAACTCCTAATACAGCTAATTACTAGCTTCAGTGTGGGATTTAAACAGTTCACACTGCACAAGACCAAAGTGTTGCAATGGGATGTTTTCTCCCCCAGCTTTCCTTACAGAAGTGAAATTCTTGTATTTATATTAAGCAAGCAGAAATTAAACATATTTAATTTTTTTTCTGAACTAGGCATGTTGCCCGTTAAGATGTTCTCGCACTGAAATCTGCTGTTGTACAGGAGATGAAATTGGAAGAAATATAAGGTATCATTTTAAACAGAACACCCCCACCCCCCAACAGTGTTTTATACTAAGGGTTTTCAACCTTTTTGTAACAAGTGTACCCCTTCCATCTCAAATTTCAGTTTATGTACCCCCCTTTATATTTCTCTCATTTTTAAGTGTGTGTGTGTGTGGGGGGGGG